TAAGACATTATTTTTGTGATAAAGCTACTGGAGAAGATCGAGTATTAAAGCTTTAAGTCAAGCGGAGGTTAGGGTGACGAGAAGTTAGCTACAGGTTTGACATCTGAGAGGTAGGATATTTTTTCCATATCCTTGTTAGCCTGTTTTAAAGTGTTTTGGCCGTTGTAAATGTCTTTAAAAGACAAAACACGTTTGATAAAGAAAAGTGTTTAAAGACAATAGCTTGATTATTGCTATTGATCTCATAATGAACTGATTTCAAGTTTTAATGAACATTTTCTTAAGATAAGATATCTTACGAACTGGTAAGCCCGCTGATGGCATAGACAGGTGGAAATCGTATCCTTGAAGGCAGAACCCAAAATCCGGACGGGCCACTACAGTAGTGATAAGGCCTTACTTTTGGTCGTAAGTAATTTATCATTAAATTACTTGCTGGTTGCCTGTAAACTGGAACTTAAGTTTATTTACCTTTCAGAAAAAGGTTGTTTGGTTCCGATTGATTTCTTTCGGGCCTAATTATTTCATTTTATTTATTTACTTATTTATTTAGTTTTATAAACTTTATCCTATTGGGTCTTTCGCTCATTTTTCTTACGATTCAAATGTATTTAACCTCATCCAGTGCAATGCTAGAAGTAGCGTGAAATAGGTGAGGAACTCGGTTCTAGAAGAAAGGAAGCAGTTAAGTATTTTCCTTCATTATCAGATTTATTTAAGGCATGTATTAACTATGCATTGTAAACCTAAAACATGACTAGACTGTGGTTGATGTCAGTTATTTACGTTTATGTATTTAGTTATGTTTGCACAAGTGTAAACCCTGTGGATGCCAGAGGCTGACTTTTGATGTTGATTTTAACAGTGATTGTATTTTTTAAAGTTTGCCTCACTTTTTATATAAAAAAAAAAAAAAAACTCAATTTCCTTAAAATAGTGGGGTTTGTTTAGAAATACCTGAATATTTTGGATTTGAAATCAAATTTTAAATTGTTAATCGTTTAATCACTTTCTTAATCAGGTTTAATTTCTAAACAAACATCCACGTCATTAACTCCTATTTGAGGACGTGACACCTAATCGCCTCATTATAGTCACTACGATATGATACATTTTATACCATACACACGTAAAAAACTATAATTATTCTCTTCGATTTTTTGAAATTTCTAGAGTACTCATTGGTACGTCTCTGTAATTTAACAAACTCAACCAACTACTAGTTCCAAATATAAGATTAAAAGATTAATGTCAAGCCTCTTATACATATGCATAGAAAGAAGCTAAGTCATATTCCTAATTTGGTTTATTGACACTATTAAATACATTGTTCAGAAATAAAAGAAAAAAGATATATCACGTAGATACAAATATGAATAAGGCAATCATAAATGCGTGCCTATTTTTCTGGCAGCAAAAGAATAACATCCGCAAGAAGAGGTACATAGATGTACTTATAATAGACTTTTTTTTTTTTTTTTTTTTATAAGAAAGTGTTATACTATACATAGCATGAAATGAAAACCAATTCCACAAAAAGAAAAGAAAAAAAAAATCTTACATATGATCGTGAACCTCCCAAGCTAAGAAGAAAGAAAAAGGGAAATATAAGACTAATATTCATCACCATCACTTTCTTCTCTCTTCTAACTTCATTCTTCCCAAATTATGATTCGATCGCTCAAAAAAAAAATAAAAAATAAAAAAATAAAAAAAATCTTCTCTAGACAGACCACGCATTGTCTGCTTAATTTCCTTAACTTCGATATCATAGCAGATTATTTGTCAATCAACCTGATCATATGTACGAAACCATAAGTCATTAGATACCATTGTCAAAGGTTCAATCTTCTTTCTCCTATAATAATTTATGTTCGAGAATGTCATGCAAAACATCAATGATTTTGTCCTCGTCCCACGTGTAATTTCCGTCATGTTTTTGTTGCACCGTGACTTGAAGAACATTCATCGGCGTTAAATTAGCGACAAAAAGACAATTCTCCCACCAAATTTAAATGAACGCGATTTAAATTCAGAAAAATGATACTGACACACAAAGTCTTCATCTGAAAAGATTCCTCACTTCTCGTGTTAAATGAAGACGTTTATTTTCTATATTCGTTCTTGATTTTAAATCATGATTCATGATTCTCTACAGTATTTTTTTTTCACAAAAAATACACGAAAAACAAGAATGATTCTAAATACATAAACCCAACGTCCTCTTAATCTTCCCCTATTAAAATCATAAACTGGTCGGATTTACATTTTCGAGGTGTCCTTAGAGCTCTCCAATTGTCACCTTCTTGATTAACTGTAATAATTTTTAAGCCCCTCAAAGGAGTGAGTGTCAAATTCACATAAAAACATCACAGTAGCTAAGCAGCCCAGTAACTTAACGATGTGAGACAACAAACACACAATTGCAAAAATTTAGCTCTGATATCATGGCCTTGGGTAGAACCCATTTCCAAAAAAGTGCACATACAACTTCCTTATTGTATTATAATTAACTTGATGTATATAATGGACTTAAAAAAAAAAGAAGGAAAAATGTGTATAGAAACACCGTTTTTCCCCTCAAGGAATGATAATTAATATCTAACTGGAGCACGAAGCTTTGTACCCAAAAAATAAAAAATAAAAAAAAAATCTACTGAAGCGTGAAGTTAACATGATCTATAAATAACTCTTTTTTATTTTTTATTTTTATTTTTATTTTTCAGGTAATGAATTCTCTCACATATGTACTAGTAAGGGTGTTGGGCGACATTTCCGGAATCATTAAATGTGCAATAAATTCAAAGGCTCGTCGGAGCCCAAGCTTTCCCGAGCCCAAGCGCCCAAGCTCTCCCGACTCAAGCTCTCCTGAGCCCAAGCTATCCCGAGCCTAAGCTCTCTCGAGCCCAAGTTCTCCGGAGCCCAAATTTGCCGGAGCCCAAGCTCTCCCGAGCCCAAGTTCGCCAGAGCCTAAATTTGCTGGAGCCCAAGCTCTCCCGAGCCCAAGCGCTCCCGAGCCCAAGCTCTCCCGAGCCCAAGTTCGCCGGAGCCGAAAGTTCAAAGGTCGCGTGATGTTATCAAGCGAAGTAACTGACGTTAATTGAAGACATTGAATGGTTGAAAGTTAATTCTCATTGATTATTTATCAGTTTTTACTCACAAAAAGGTGAGGAGCCTTATTGTAATTAAGAGAGAATAAACTCTCGAATTAATGGGAGAATTAAACTCCCTCAATCCTAATGTACTATAAATTCCCTCAATTTGAGAGGAAAAGGGGGACACTCATTTCTGAATACAATTGCCTTGTGATTGTCTTTATTTTGTTTTTGTTATTCCTTTAGAGGTTCTTTGTGTTCTTCGAGTGTTTTTCTAATTTCCTTACATAATTTGCTTATTCAATTCAAATTATTTGTCTAGGGATGTTGGATAAGTGTTGGACGAAATTTTGCTCTAACATTTTTGGCGCTAGAAGGAGGGCCCTAGTGTGATTAACATCCACGGGTTCTCACCGGTACTTAAAATTTTTCTATCTCATTGCTAAGTCATTTTCAGGTATGGCAAGTGACCAAGTCTCAAGTGCTCAACGTACCGATACTGAGGGAACCCAAACAAGGGGACCCGGTGCTAATCCTGAAAGAGCACCACGTGCTCCTCGTCCACCAACACGCACTGTTGAGATTATAGCACAAAGTGCACCTGAATTAGCTCTTTTTAAACACTATTCATGAGAGAGAGAATTTATGAATCGCAAATAACTAAAAACAATTAACAAGACAAAATAAAGGAGAAAACTAATACTAATTACCCTCTAGGTAATAATTTAAGCCTGAGAAATGCTCAATTAACTCTATTTTCATAGAGTTATCAATCCTGAAAGAGCACCACGTGCTCCTCGTCCACCAACACGCACTGACAGGATCGAAGCACGAGTGGACACATTGGTAGGGATGGTGAATCAGCTTATCACTACCTTTAATACGGTTCGTCCAGCAAACAACCAACAAAGTGGGCCGGCAAATTCTCGGAGTGCTAGGAGTGGGCGTAGCCATCATCGGAGCCAACATAATGAAGGTGAGGGTCAATCCAATAGGAATCAACCAAGGGACTTGCCCGAGCCGCAGGAACCACGTCACGCACCTAGGCATCGGAATGCTTTGTCACGGATTGGGAGTCATCATGATGCAACTGAAAGAACTAGGACATCGGTGTTTGACAGGATAGAAGATAACCGTAATAGCGAAGAAGTTGATAGCACCTAGACACCTCGGTCTGATGATTTCACCACTACTGATTTGCGGGATCGACTCAACGCACGACGGGATGTACAAGCAATTATACCTATGCTCTCAAACAACCAGGCAACTCAAAACAGGAGTAGGAGGAGAGCCGAAATACCACGATCTTCTCGGAGCCAAGTAAATAGGGCGAATTAGAACCAGAACCGACATGATAATCAATGAGGCGTAAGTTAATCCAACAGGAGCACCCGTGAGGAACAACTCGGGTAAGCCAACAAGAATTTGCCGGATGGTGTAAGAGACTTGCTGGATGAAACATAGCCACCATTCACTGAGGACATCATGGCAGAGGAATTCCCTGCTGATTTCAAGATGATTCCCATCAAGCAGTGTGATGGGAAAGAGAATCCAACAGGACATATACACGGATATAGCACATGGATACGAATTCGGCGAGCCGCACAATCTCAAATGTGCCAAGCATTTTCTTTGACGCTTACTGGGCCGGCGCTTCAATGGTTCCAACAATTAGAGCCAAGGTCAATTAGTTCGTTTAACTAGCTAAAACAATAATTTGTAGGACGATTTGTGACAGCGAAAACTCACAGGAAAGATAAGCTTTATTTGTTCTCTCTCAAACATGGAGCTAATGAATCGTTAAAAGCCTACATTGAACGTTTCAGCCAGGAAATGAATTATGTGGAAGGATATAGTGATAGTGATGCTGTGGCCGCAATTCGGGAAGGACTTTAGAAATGTGATATGCTGAAGTCGATTTGCAAAAAACAACCAAAAACCTTCGTCGATCTCGTGATCCGAGCTCAGAAGTTCATTAGCGCTGAAGAATACATGCGCAATCGAAGAGGACAATCTCAAACGGATCAATCAAAAAATGATCGAAAGTGGAAGGTAGAAGAAGGATCTAAAGGAGGAGAAGCAAAAAAGCAAAAGTCAGAGGCACAACAGGACGTGAACAAGTCCAAGACTGCCTTGACGCAAAAGTTCCAAGCTTACGCTCCACCAGATACGACAAGGGCCTACACACCATTGAATACGACAGTGGCACATATTTTAATGCAGATTCAACATCAGAATATGCTGACTCCTCCAGCCCCTATGAAGGGAGATCCTAACAAGAGGGATAAAAGTAAATATTGTTACTTTCACAAGGACCATGGCCATGACACCTCAAGTTGCTTTCAATTAAAAGGACAGATTGAGGCACTCATTCAACAAGGCCAGTTACAGGAGTTTGTGGACAGAGTAATAGCAAAAAGAAAAACTGCACTCCCAACAACGATAGGAAAGCAAGCAGCGGTCGTACATGGAACGAATACAACAGTTGGGAATAGTTCTGCATTGAATGAGGTTAGGACAATTTTTGGTGGACCAGAAACTGGTGATTCCATGCGGGCTAGGAACCTTTATGCTCGACAAGCTAAAGGTCTTGATTTTGGCCAATTTATAAATATGACAGAACATATCGATGGAGAACATCGCCATAACCTTCACAGAGGAAGAGGCAAGGAAGTTGCTTCATCCACATAACGATGCTATAGTTGTGTCTTTGCAAGTGGCAAATAGCTTAGTCCACCAGATTTTGATCGACAATGGGAGTTCAGCGGATATACTATTCAAGGATGCTTTAAACAAGATCAACCTAGGTGGAGCAAAGTTAACATCCGTGAACACCCCACTCCAAGGCTTTACTGGAGCATGCATTCACGCTGAAAGAATGATAACACCCCCAGTTACTATGGGAGAAGGGGAGACAAAGGTGACAAGAATGGTAAATTTTTTGGTTGTGGACCAACCATCTGCGTACAATGCCATTATAGGGTGACCAACTTTGAATACAATGAGAGCGATAACTTCAACATATCATCTAATGATGAAGTTTCCAACAAAGAATGGCGTTGGAGTGGTGGTCGGAAGCCAACATGATGCACGAATCTGCTATGTGAAAATAACCAACGGGAAGGTTGAGTCGAATGGAAGGAAAGTCTAGAAAGGTGCTGACACATATTTGAAATGTTAAGCACCTCAAGAAGTATTATCAATACTTAAAAAGTTTGAAGTTTAGTGTGTGTACTTCAATGTGACGCCAGGTTTGTTAGGCAAAACTTATTATTACTAAATAAAGTCGAAGTGTTTGATAATTTATTCTTTAAATATTTTCTTTCTCATTCTGTTCAATATGACAAAGAAAATAGGGGGGATAGGAGTTTATCAATTCAAGTGAAATTATACAAGAAAATAAATAAAAAACTCGACCCCAAGTGGGCACGGGAAAATAAAAAAAAAAGCTTTGGCTCGGAAAAACCCGACCCCAAGTGGGCACGGGAAAATAAAAAAGCCTCGGCTTGGAAAAATCCGACCCCAAGTGGGCACGGGAAAATACAGAGAGCTTCGGCTCGGAAAAACCCGACCCCAATTGGGCACGGAAAAATAAAAGAGCTTCGGCTCGGAAAAACTCGGCCCCAAGTGGGCACGGGAAAATAGAAAATACAAGGGAACAACCCGACCCCAGGTGGGCATGAGAAAATCCAAAGAGGAAGAAACCTTGGCGTGAGAAAACCTAAGCCTAAGTTGGGCTTGGGAAAATTGCAAAGTCGAGGAAATATTACCACGAAAAAAGTCGACCCCAAATGGGCACGGGAAAATCCTAAGCCATGGGGGAAACTTGGTTAAAGGGAAAACCTGACCCCAAGTGGTCACGGGATAACTCTAAACCAAAGAAAATATATATATTAGCTAGTCTACATTGATAAAATGTAGCAATTGCAAAAAAAAATTAAAAAAAAAAAATTGTTATTATGTTACAAGAAAGATAACAAAAGAACAGGTTTCAATAAAAGGAAAAGTGCTAGCCAACCGGCCCAAGTACACAAGAGCAAGCATGAAAAATGGAGTGCAGAGCAAAAAAAAAAAAAGAAAGCTTTTAGGTGCTGCTTGGTGGATCGATACTTGGAGGATCACTGCTTGGTGATTTTTCCAAATCCTTCATAGGTTCAATCATCTCATCATCAGGGTTGAAGTTATTCGGTGTAGGTGCTGAAGGAGTCTGAACAATATGAGGAGGGTCAAATAAGAGATTAAGGTCAAGGTCTTTGTTATAGAAAATGATTGCCTTCTTGGCTTCTTCGTAGCCTTTCCAGAACTCGTCCTCAGTAAGCTCAACTTTATCAGCCTCGTACTTGGCATGGTAAAGCTCTAAATCTTTCTTCACTCGCTCGAGTTCCCTTAGAGACATATCAAGAGCAGCTTTAGTCTCCACAAGAGTCTTCCTATCATTTTCAGAGGAGGTCAAAAGAGTATTGTATTTAGGTTTCCAACCATCTGAGATGCTCACCGTCTACACAACTAATTTCTCATATCGAAGCAATTTCTCTTGTGTCGCCTTTAAACTGTCCTGAGATTCCTTAAATTTTGGTGAAATTATTTTTGCCTCTTCAAACATTTCTTTTGTTCGAGAGTTGTACATAAGAAGATCTACGAAGAGCTAAAAAAAAAACTGGTTAAACAAATTAGCTTAGGAAAGTCTAAACACAATTTGGGCTTAGAAAATCCCAACATTAATAAAGAAGGAGAGAGATAAAGCTAAGCCCGATTTGGGTTTAGAAAATTTCAATGAAGAAAATGAGGGGGTTTACCTCAGTAATCCGGCGCTCGATTGAATTAGCTAAGTTAATGGCTTCTCATTTTTTAGCTCCGTCAATATGTTCGCGAGGCACAAATTTCTCCATCTTTTTCAACATTGGAACATGACAGGGGTGGTTGGACAAGCGGACCAACCCATCAGTTACAACATCAAGAGTGGAAGTATCTTTAGAGGTTTGGCCAGGTTCATGACTCGAAGACTTTTTTGCTGGTCTTGAAGGAGGAAGTGGATCATTTGGTGAACGAGAGCCAATATTTAATGCAGTTGATAGAGAAGGGCCAGTAGGTGGAACGTCAAAGGAGGACTTTCGCTTCTTCATCCGTTCCTTGAAAATCTCAGGGTCGAAGGTTGATTGACTTGGGGGCCTCGTGGGCCTAGACGCCAAGCGGGATTCCAAGTCCTTGGGAAAATGTCTAGACACATGGTGCTCACGTGAGCGGGAGCCATCACCACGATGCTCAGAAGGAGGTCCGAAATCTTGCTAGCCATATCTGTTGAAAAAAAAGGGTAACAAAAATCAGCAATAAAATATGTGTAACAGGCATAAAAAGAAGTCAGGTGGGAGTGTCGATAAAGTCACACCTATTTTTTCAAAGATAGCAGGGTCAGGAAGATGACAAACGTCATAAATAGGGTCATTCAAAAATAATTCCATGTCATTCAGAGAACAAGATGGATCAAGCAATGGCCCGGTACCACTCAAAGATTCTTCTAAGGTAGTTGTGTCAGACATACCATTAAATAACACATATGGATCAAGAGTTTGCGTTGTGGAAGGAGATAAAGCTCTCGCGTCACATGGCCAATGGGCGTCTAACGTTTCTTTAGAAGAAGATACTTTGCGTTTCTGATTGCCTCGTCTGTTTTTTTTTTTTTTTTTTTTTTTTTTGGGGGTTTTTTTTTTTTCTCCCTTTTTTTTTTTTTTTTTTTTTTTTTTTTTGCGGAGCTAATGTTGTCAAGCGCGTCTTGTGAAAGGGTGACCTTGTTAGGCTTAGGAGGAATCACATTTGGGTTGAGGTTCCAATTTCCAGAAACTATGAACCAAGAAGATCTCTAGTGTTTGTCGTTTTCAAGACAATCCAGAATGAGTTTCATGTTTCGTTTCGCTTGGAAGTAAAAAGAACCATTGTGCCCGGGTGATTTCTTTTTTACGTAGATGCCTCTAAATTCGTTGACAGTCAAATCTCCCAATCCAAGTTTTCACCAAAGGACAAAACAAGCGATGGCATGACGTAGCGCATTCGGACAAAGTTGGCGTAAACTCAAGTTAAAATATGCCAATAGATCATGGATAAATGGAGGAACTAGAAGCCGAAGGCCACATTTGAAAAAATCTTTGAAAAGCACGATCCCATCTGTCGGAGGGGATTTCAAAGTTTCATTTTGTGTCGGGAGGCGAAGTGAAATGTTAGAAGGAATACAATAGCGGTACGGATCCTTTCCAAGTCTTCTATCATAAGATGGATATGTAAGTCTTCCAAGTCGGGCTCAGATTGATCGGGAATAATCTTTGAAGACCCCTCGGCCGGTAAAGAGTCATCATCAAAATCTACACCAACTGGATTTTTAGGGTCGGAACTAAGCGAATTCTTGGGCTCGGACACGAGCATTTTCTTATGAGAGTCAATCTTCTTCCTCTTATTCTTGGCGTTGCCACCTTCATGAGCTTTGACGATATCTCTAGTCTTGCCAAGTTTGAACTTCAAGGTTGTGCTTTTGACTTTTTAGCATATATCTTCAATGCTGGTCTTGGGGATATACAGAGAATCATTAGAAGAAGAGGAGTTAGAAGAATTTCCATCATTTGAAGCCCAAAAAACTCGATTAGCACGGAGTTTGAAGCGTTTGAGGGGCTGCCCGGTGTTCATTAAAGCAGCATTAGAGCCGTCTGTCTTTGTCGTCGCTAAACCGTTAATGATATCATCATGGTGTTGGTTATTTTTCACCTCCATTCGCTGGAGTTTATGATAAAAATCACACAAAGACGATTTTACTTTGTTCCTTTTCTACAACACTTTTCTTTCTTCTTCTGTGCCTTACGTTAATTGTGGTAGAAACATATACAAGAGGATTGTGTTAGCATGGGAGGCCTTACTCAAAGGAATTAGAAGATCACGTAATGGGCAAAGGTTGAAAAAAAAGGCAACATAGTAAGTGGATCCATTTACATTGCACCATCTTTGGAGAAAAAAAAAAAGGAAAGTGTACGAAATTTCTCATGCAGAGAGAAAAGGAAAGCAAAATGTTTTGGAAGCAAAAGAAAGTCAACATTAATTGCAGAGGTGCCAAGTTTTGTTTTTCATATATATATTGAAATTTAGCAAAGCTACCTTTAGTTTTTTCTTTCCATTAGCGTTGGAAGCAATTAAAGTAAATGGGAAATGCAAATCTAAGCACGTTGTGAAAACTAGCTGATTCCACTTCTGCTTTAGAGAAGTAGAGGAAGCTTTCCAAAAAAAAGGGAAGCTTACCAATTATGAAGAAGACGCTGAAGATTGGAGCAGATTGGGAAAAATTCTTTTGGGAGATTATGCCGTGTAAGTTAAAGCTATTCCAATTTATAAGGAAGCTAGCAAATTTAGTTACTTTTTAGGGAGTGATTAGGTGATTTGTGTTTAAGATCTTTAAGATATGGGTTGTTTTAGAAAAGGAAAGAAATTTTAGAAAATCTTCGTCAAATCTTCGACATTCAAGGTATGTTGGAAGGGGGAAACAAAGTTCGGTAAATAAAAAAAAAGAAGAAAGAGGAAAATTTCCGGGCAAGTTTTAGTCCCCTTCGCTTGGCGTGCGACACTCGTGGACTGGGGGGCTGATGTTGGGCGGCATTTCCGGAATCATTAAATGTGTAATAAATTCAAAGGCTCGTCGGAGCCCAAGTTTTCCCGAGCCCAAGCGCCCAAGCTCTCCTAAGCTCAAGCTCTCTCGAGCTCAAGCTATCCCGAGCCTAAGCTCTCCCGAGCCCAAGTTCTCCGGAGCCCAAATTTGCCGGAGCCCAAGCTATCCCGAGCCCAAGTTCGCCGGAGCCTAAATTTGCCGGAGCCCAAGCTCTCCCGAGCCCAAGCGCTCCCGAGCCCAAGCTCTCCCGAGCCCAAGCGCTCCCGAGCCCAAGCGCTCCCGAGCCCAAGCTCTCCCGAGCCCAAGTTCACCGGAGCCGAAAGTTCAAAGGTCGCGTGATGTTATCA